GCTCCTGTTTAATCACAGTGACACATAGAGTAGTTCAATATTTTTCTTCTTCATGAAAAGGAAAAAATAAAGAAACAGCTTTATTTTTGGGAACAGCTAAGTCAGAAACCAAGAACATATCTGTCTTAAATATCCTTTGCAATGTTATATGGCACATAGTTGGCATGGAAATAGAATATTGTTTTGTGGTTATACATTATATTCATTTTCTCTTCCTTAGACATGGTAAGGTTTATGTGTTTATATAAGTAAAATAGAGATACCAGTTTTCTTTACAGAGGATGTGAGTTTGGTATTAAGAGATCAAAATTTAAATTGTGGCTTTACCATCTACTGTGTGACCATGGACTTCCCTTCCTTGAAATTTGTTTATTTGTGAAGTGGTAATAATAATACCTCACAGTGTTGATATGAAATTAAGTAAGACATTTAGGTTAAAGTACGTAGTACTCAAAAAGATTAGTTGATCATTAATCTTGGATGTAGACATATTTCAGTAGTTTTGTTATGTCAAAAAAACCAGGGAAAGTAGAATATCAAAGGGTCGATGGGGTACAGAACAAGTGAACGTGTTGTGTTAGTCAGATTTCCAGTCCCACTACAATATACTTGAGATAAACAAGTTATGATGAGGAAAGGGTTATTTTATCTCAATGTTTCAGGGGTTTAGTTCATAATTACTTGGCCCTGAGGCTGCATGGTGTATTATGGTGGGAGCTTATAGTAAAGAAGGTCTGTTTTCCTCATGGTAGAAGTGAAACAAAAGAAAGAGACAAGAAGGGGTCAGGGTCCCAATATCCCCTTCAAGGACATGCCGCCAAAGACCTAATTTCTTTTCACTAGGGGCCTACCTCATAAAGTTTCCACCACCTCCCAGTAGCACCCCGTATGGGTATCAAGCCTTCATTCAGAGCTAGGGCCTTCAGGGGGATGTTCCAGATCCACACAGCAGTACGTGCATTTTCTTGCAACTGTATTTATTATTAGTTTTATGGCCCTAAGCAATAAATTAGAATCATACCTTTGAATAGACACTTATATGTCTATTATATGTAAGTTACCTTAGTGGTTTTTTTGTGTTTTAAAACATTGTTTCACGATGTAGCTCAGGTTGACTTAGAACTTGTGATTCCCCTGCCTCCACTTCCTGAGTGCTGGCATTAGAGGGAATGCTTCCTGGCTTAGTAACAATGATTGTCTTGGAATGATTTCTTTTTGTCTGTTTTGTTTTGGTAGTGCTGAGGATTAGACCCAGGACCTTGTGCATGCTAGGCAAGCACTCTAGCACTGAACTACATCTGTAGCCTTTTAGTTATTGTTAAAAATGGAGAACCTGGTATATGTCACAGGCCATGAGATCTTTTAGTTTGTCCTTCTGTTCTCTGTTGACTCTTATGGGGGCTTGAGGTAGTAGTGGTAAGAAATTTATGTGTCAATGTATTACATGCATATTTATTGTATACATTTTATGAATATATTTAAATGGTTTTTCCTATGTCATATATTTCTTCACCTTTTTATTGTGCCTTAGCAACATGTGTGCTAAAGAATAACAATGATTTTCAAACTTAGTACAGACTGTAATTAATTTTTATAGAAACAGTATGTACCTGCCAAATGGGTACTTTGAAAATGAAATTCTGTTTGATTGTGTGAAACTGCTTGAAAATGTGATTCTCCAAAGTGTTCTTTTTTTATGGCCAGAAAACAGTGACATGGAAATTAATTATGACTATGCATTCAAGACTTTTTCTTCTCTTTTTAAAATCAAACTTAAAAAAACAAAGTTTCTTTGGATCAAGAACAATGTTAAGATATTTATACACCCTGTTTTTAAATGTAAAGAAGCAACTAGTAGTAGACTTGAGTGAAGACCACCTATGCCCCAGAAGTCACATATGCCCCTTGTATTTCATCTGTTTGGTTCAAGGTGACATTTTTCTCTATTCCCCACACTCACTCAAGATTACAGTATAATAAATTTTTATTACAGCCCCATGCTGTAAATACAAAGCACTGATTATTCTGACAACGTGAATGTGTCTCAGTGCACATCAGTTAGAGACATACACAACAGCGCATTGTTGGGGGCCTGTTGTATAACAACTTCTTGGGTTTGTTAAAATCTGATTTCTACAAATAATCTGGTTTGTAATCTCTTTTGGCTCTTGTCCTGTCTTTGATTTGGGTAAGATGTTTCTAGAAAAGAGTAATCAAACTCTTTCTAAGGGAAACTTATTTATTTGGTTTTGTAGGTGAGGCTTCAGAGGCAAAATCAAATGTGATTTTGTTGTATATGTGTGAGTGGGATGTAGTGAGGATGCTAGTTTAATGATTTGTTTGAGATAGGAAAGTTAAGAGCAGTAGCTTGGAACAGAGAAAGTTATTATAATTATCCCTCTGACTACTCCAAGTTATCTGTGCTGCTTTCAACTCAGATTTGGAGTAGGCTATATCCTGTTAGGATGCCTTATTTTGATCAGTGGTTCTCAATCTTTACTGTGCTGTGGAACCACTCAGAAGGTTTAAAATCCATGTTACTCTGCCCCATACCCACGTTTTGGTAGATTCAGTTTGAGGTGAGCCTCAAGAATTTGCATTTCTAACAAGTGATGGGAATGCTGCTGGCCCAGGGTCTCCAGTGTGTGAAGCAGTGATGTGGAGCACTGGGGAAGCCTTTGTTTATCTCTGGTTCAAGGTGTTAGGGAATAGGGAGTGATGAATTTGATAGGGAGAATGATGAGAAAAGAATGAAGAATGGTGATCATCTTGCTTAGTTAGCTGGAATTATTGACTTCTGAGCTCTTACAGTATATTACAAAGTTAAATATTCATAAAACTGTTAATATTAATTACTTTTGTTACTGGGAACCAGATTAAGTTAGGGGCAATAGATTTGTTTCTTAATATCAACCTTCTCTTTCTCTTCTGGTTCCTGTATCTTCCTTCAGCCTGTGTCTTCCTCTGTCTCCCAAATACTATAACTGTAGGTAGTCATGTCATACTGTCTTTCAGAAAGGAGAGAAATGATGAGATAGCATTTGAGATTTCCTGGCAAGGTTGTCACATCAACCAAGTTTAGCATTATAATAAAAACCTTATTCATTTGACTTTTACCTATTTAGGTTTTGTACTAGTTAGGACAGAGCTTTGGCTGAGATACATCTTTGCAGTATTTATAAAAAGTTTCCAAAGCAAATCAGTTAAGTTAGACTGTTGCCCATGAAATTTAAATTATTTAATGAAGAACTGCTTTCAAATTATTCAGTACTGCCACTTACATAAGATTGATTTAATAATTAGAAATCTATCTGATCTATTCATCTATACAAGCTGCTTTTAATTTATAAGTATGATTAGGATTGATAGGCTTATTGCTTCAGGAATATATAATTCAGATTTCTTAATTAATTTAAGCAGAATTTTCACCTAGTTAGTCCATATAACTGGTTTGTTTTTTCATGTAAAGTACAAAATTATACTATCCATCATTTTCTATTAATTTCCATCTTAGTATTACTTGGAGACAGTCAAATTCATACCTGATGTCTTTTGTATGGAGTGACCACTAGCAGTTTAGTATACAGTTCAAAGCATAAAATGTGGCCTTCAAAGTGGTTCTTTAATTTTGCTTATAGAGTATTTTTTCAGATGTTTCTTTCCTTTAAATAATACCCTGTGCTCAAATTTTCCTAGAATAAAACACCCTACCAGATAAAGGATTTAAGAGATCTAGGCCATGCTTACTTAATAAAATGCAGCAGAGTGGAAAATATCCTGTCTTGCTAGCTCAGGAAAAGTATGATTTTTCTAATCTAGTATTTAAAGCCAATTACATTATTTAAGAAGCTGCTGTTACATAAATATTAACTTATTAGGGATAGATTTTAGTCTTTGGTAAAATTATGTTTTGGAGTTTCTATCTGAAGGGATTAAAGTCTATAATACAAAGAATGACTGAGAAGTCCATGTGAAGCTGCATTTGAACTTCAGTGCTTCTTTTCAGTCCTTGTCCTCTTGCTATGAAGACTAGCCTGAGTCAGATCATTGAGGATTGATAACGAATGTATTACTCAGCATCCTACGAGGGTTGAGTCAAACCCTCTGGCTTTGCAAAAGTTACTCTTTTTCTTAGTAAGCCTAGAAATTTCAAGTCCAGTTGCAGAAAGAAAGTTCAGTGTTCTGTTGACCTGAAAATGGTCTGTGGCTATTGTAGATGTTCCTTCTCTCTGTGTATAACAGTGTCTGAAATAACTAGATGGATTACCAATGAATTTTACCTAGAGCTGCTATATTGTAAGGAAGATTAGTTTCCAATGAGGCATTTCTGTTGAAATTCATTCTTTAACTTGAAGGGGAGGCTTGGCATGTTAAGGAGGAAAAAGGGACATGTTTATTTTAGACTGGCAATTGGGAATGCAGAGACATAAGAGAGCCTGGGATAATACTACTTAAAAGCAAAGACTGCGGATTCTGGATCAGATGCCAATTAAAGAGATCAGTTTGTGATCAAACTGTCTACCCGAGAAGGGAAGGAAGGTGGCTTTTTAGGTTGACCAGGGAGGGTGGTGTTCTAGGAAGAGCTTTTGAGGCCTGGGTAAGAGGAAGTCCAGGCTTGCATCCAGGGCCAGCTCTGCTGATGGGAGGAAGGATTTGGTGTCTGTAGGTAGAAGAAAAGGAAAGGAAGCCAGGTAAATTTACATGTGTGTAAAAGTCAGTAACAAAAAGTGACCCAAACCCAAAGTTTATTTTTATTTTAGAAGTTTCTTTCAGAGTTTAACTTATCTTGAAATAGAACCAGGCAATGAGATTTAAAGTTTTTAGAGTTTTACATACTTTCTATTTAACCATGTTTTTACTCCAGCCTGGTCTCTGGAAAATGCTTCAGGAGAATCTAATGTGTTAAGAAGCATCATCATCATCCCATCACCATCTACTAGCGTTTATGAAGTATACAACCAAAGTCTAACTCTAATTAGAGTTTGCTTGTGTTTTTCCAGGTAGCCCAGCCATGACCCATAGGAATCTGACTTCCTCCAGTCTGAATGACATTTCTGATAAGCCAGAAAAGGACCAGGTAAGCAAAGAACCCTTGCCTCTTTGAAATGCAAGGCTGAATGTGAATCTAATGAATGCTAGCCAAGGAGTGAGGGCAGAGTGACAAGATGTGAAGGGATCTGGAGTCAGAAGAGAATTTGAGTCTCGACTTCAGCCTTTATGATTCATTGACTTGGGCAATTTTAGCCTGAGAGCTACAGTAGGCTCAGGTAGTAAAACCTCTGCCTTAGGTTTGCAGTGGAGATTAAATTGATAGTTTATGGAAAAGATAATTTGATAAATTATAAAGGGTTAAGAAATGATGGAAATTGTTGATTTGGGGGCAACACATCAGGCAAATGTAATGATAGTTGTCTCACTAGCTCTATATTTGTCTATTCAGACATGTAAACAGCCTATCTGTACTGAAGAGCAGTGAGGTTTTGAACCTCTGCTTGCTTTCTTTTGAAAATAATGTGGTATAAATCAGGCCATTTTCCTAATTGATTGGGTGTCTGTGGAGAGATTATATTTCAAGAATGTAGTATATTGATGTTTATAAAAGGATGCTTCCTGATTTAAAAAAAATTTCAAGAAGGCATAGTGGCACATGCTTGTAATCTCAGCTACTTGGGAGGAGGAGACAGTAGGATTGTGGTTCAAGACCAGCCTGGACAAAGTTAGGGAGACCCTATTCTTAAAAAAAAAAAAAAAAAAAAGGTGGACCTGTTGGCACACACTTATAATCCTAGCTGTGCAGATGACAGAGCTAGGAGGATCATAGTCCAAATACACAAGACCCTATATGAGCAATAACTAAAGCAAAGGGTTAGGGCTAGGCCCTGAGTTCAAACTCTAGTACTACCAAAATGAAAAAAAAAAAAACAAAAAAACCTCAAACCTTCAAAGAAATAAAAGTAGCATATACTTTTTGCCTGTATAAAAAAGTATCATATTTTAAAGAAGACAAAAATTCTACCTTGTTTCCTCAGGTTATGGGGAAAGTACCAAGGAGCATGAAGCAAGAAAACCTTGTCTTGGTATTTGTTAAGCCTGGTTAGGTGCATGATGGATCCTAGTTTTCTCCTTTGTAATATAGAAACAGTTCTTAGAAGATGGAGTATCTGATTATTACTTTGATAACTTACTTTTTTGTGCTTTGATATAATGGAAGAGTATGGCTCATGCTTAACATGCTAATTGTGTGTCATTTGTGTGACCTTATTCTTCCTTGCTCTCTGTTTTAAAATAGGGTGGCTTTGAAGATTCATCTTTTCACACTTTGCTGTTTTTTTAAAAGCAATATTTATGACAGTGTTCTATAACTGGCAGCACTTGTAGTAATGATAGAGGTTTTATAGGCTTTGATAAATTCCAAAAAAGTACAGAAAAGGTGAAATTACATTCTATCTGTGAAATGACTCCTGGACTCTTTTCTACCATCTTCTTACCAACATCATCCTATTTGGGCCTTTATCCTCTCAGATCTGAGTTTCTAGAAAAAACTTTGGTCCTAATCCCTTGTACCCATTTTCTCTCAATTCAATATACTTTTATTATTCTTGCCCTCATTTTTTCACTCTGGATTAGAAACTTATAAGGGCTTCCTGTTAAGTTCAAAATTTCCTGCATAACTTTTAAGATCTTCTGAAATCTTGTATTATCCTTCTTATCTTCATTTATGTATTTGTGTTCTGCAGATGATGACTCTGTTTTGATCAGGACTGATTGCTTTCTTCCACTTTTACCTTGAAATTAATTCTTGACTCCTTGAATTTACTGTTCTTCAAGTGCTAATATGGCCTGTTCTCCTCCCTTCCATCTGTCCACCTCTTGACATAATCAGGGAGAAGACCATTTAAATATGGAAACATAGGTAGGTACATACCTGAAACAGAAGAGGGATAGAATTTTTTTCAAAGCTCTTTTGTACATTTTGGCTCTATGAAAATTTCAGTTAATCAATGTTGATTATTTATGTTGTTTTCCAGGGATCTTAAAGTTGGATAAGGCACCACACTGAGTAGGGTTAGGCAGAGCTGGTTGGCAGACTTTTGAGAAAGTCTTATTTTGTGAGGGACAGCCCTTCTCTAGTGAGGAGTTTGTCAATAAGCATCTGGTAAGTGCTATCTGAGAAAAGTTTCTTACTTTCTTGAACTTTTTCATGTCTGGGAATATGTAGAAATTTGTTGGTTTAAGATACAAGTTATAAAATATTTTGCTTCTAAGTAGAAGAAATTGGTTGGGGTATTTGAAGGGGGGAGATATTGATTTTGCCATAAAACTTGCATAATTGGACCCCTTAAAACCAGACTTTTCATTGCCTCTTACTACTAGTGTCTCACAGTCATGAAGATTCATGTTAAGATGAAGCCACATGATTTAGCTCAGGAGTTTTGTTCTTTTTGTTTTAAAAGCAAACAAATGAAGGCTGATGAATGCAACATTATCAGAGCAATTATCCATCTAAATTCTTGCTCTTACAGTAGCCATGTTTAATCCAATGAGTTCTGCCTCCCCCAAAAGAGGAAGAAACTGTTCTTTGCTTCCTACTTAAGTGCTAGAAGATAGCTTTGTAACTGATCCATAATCTCTTCTATAACAAAAAGTAGAAGATAGCTTTGTAGCTGATCCATGATCTCTTCTACAACAAAAAATAGAGGAGGAATTCAATCTAAAGTTTCTAGTTTCTATTCCTACCCTTTTAGTAACTTCAAAAATACAAAAGTTCCTAAATCATTTTTGGATGAGAAAAAAAATGGACTTGCAAATAAGACAAAGCTATAGTAGACCCAGGCTTTTTTTTTTTTTTTAACCTGTTTTCCCTCTTTTTGGGTAGGAAAAAAAGGTTTCCAGGCTCAAATTTGTTTGGAAAAAGCTTGTATAATTAATTAGCCAACATCCTCGAAGTGAGGTTGGCAGTTAAGTCAAACTTGTCCTGTATGCGTGTCCAAATTGGCCCAAAAAACTTCTATTCAATTGCAACTGAAGCTTATGATTGACTGATTATTCTGCCTGGTCCCAACGTGAACAGTTGTGGTGGTGCCTCATGACTTCCTGGAGCTATACAGCTTCCCAGTAGCGTAAGAGATGGGTTTAATGTTCAGAGTTATGAAGAGGAACAGAATGGCTCTTCTTGACAGCTATATAGTGACAAAATCTGAGGGCATATTTTTTATGAGATTCTGTTTTGGGAAAACAGAAGAAACAAATCTGTGGATTGCACTTTTTCTTTCTGACTCTGCCAAGCTTATGTACTTATGATTTCAGTAGCGGCTGCCTGATTGAGAAATAGCTCAAAATAGTTAACAGCAGAAGAAAAGTACAGCCAAAATTTAGGTGATTCAACGCTCCACCAATATTCCAACTTGGATGTTATATCTATTAAGCAGAAAAACACCTGTGGAGAGTAGATTAAAAAAATACATCTGGAGCTCATCTAGTTATAAATCTACATAAATAACATCTTTTATTTTGTTGCTATGGAGCGTTTTTTACATTATCCATTTATCTTCTCAGATTATCTGAAATTTATTTGCTTTTCTATCTCTCTTTATTCCTTTTCTATATTTTGCAAAGTTTATAAACATGTGATGTGGGTGCTCATCAGATGCAATGTCTTTAACTCTCTCAGTATGAAATCGGGTAAGAACATAGATAGGTTTTCTCTTTGTTTTACTTTTTAACTTTAACTCTTCTAGAAGTACTGTGCTTAGCAGTAGTACACTGATTTCAAATGGATTGACTGTTTTTCAGGTTTATCAATAATGCAATAACATCTCAGAATAATTTTACCTGAAATTGTAGCCTGTAGCTCACAATGGATTAAGTAGACTTAAAAATACCTTGCAGATTTTCAGGTAGACACGTAGGTTCACAGGACCTTATAACTATGTACCTGGTTATCACTTCCAAGATACTCGTTATTTAATAGGCTTATCTGAGAATTAGATAGTGGAATTTGGTCTAAAAATTAATCTGTAAAGTGTACTGTAATAATTTTTAGCACCACCTACTGTCTATTATCTTTAAATATACGTGAATGCTTTGATTTTTACGTTTGAAGTCTTGGTCTTTTATGGAAACAGACCTAAATTTAAATATTTAGCGAATAGATTGACAGCAGGAGCAATGGAAGGTGGAGGTGTTTGTCTTCTCTCTCCTCAATTGTTATGTGCTCATCTTCCTCTTGGTCTACTTCATAATTACATGTCTCATTTAGAATGTGATCAGATTAATGCTAGATCATGTTGCTCAAAATTAAACAAGTGGGTAATTCCAGAATTGATTGGTCATACCATTGTCTCTGTATTAATGCTTGTTTCATTGCACTGGTTCATCTTCCTTCTCAATTTACCTGTCACCACTTGGAATATATATCAGTTCATTATGGTGACAGGTGGTAACATGGGAGTGTTTAATCCAACAGAAATACATCATCGAGGTCAGCTTTGATAAATGACTGAAACTGGAGAAGCTATGGTTGAAGTCAACCTACAGTACAAAGTTGAGAAGCCAGAAACTACTTAAATCATCCTTAGAACCATTACTATAGCAGTGTATATTTTTGTCTTTGAACCAAAAAAAATACCCAAATCCCTATTTTTGCTGTACTTTTACTATATAAAATAAAAGATTGGCGAACAGAGTGGACAAAATTGAAAATAGAGTATCAGGAACAGAAGATAAAGTGGAGGAATTATATCAAACAGTCAAAGAACATGACAGAATGCTAAGAAAATATATTTAGAGCATGCAAGATATCTGAGACATCATCAAAAGACCAAACCTATGAGCCATGGATATAGAAGGAGAAGAGATACAAACTAAAGGCATAGATAACCTATTCAATAAAGTAATAGCTGAAAACTTCCCCAACCTTGACAAAGAGAGGAACATCCAGATCTCCCATGCTTGTGGATTGGTAGAATCAACATTGTGAGATCAATGAGATTGAAACAAACAAACAAACAAAAAAACAAAAACTACAAAGAATCACCGAAACAAAAAGTTTATTCTTTGATACTATCAAAAGCATTC